AAAGCTACGGCGTTTCGAACAGGCACGGCTCCAATTTTTCTGGTTTAATACGAATCTAATATTGTTTTGTGCTTTTGTTGAAAACCAATTTAATTGAAAATTTCACATTTCTATGTGAACAAACATCAAGTGCAAATTCGTACTACATAAATATTGTAAGTATTGTCATTCTCTATCGGGAATTTAAAAATGTTGACGAATTTTAAAGCTTTATACTCGTATTGTTGTTGTATGCACATTGCACAGGTGAGTTATCACTGCTAACGGCGAGACGTTTTAGGTGTAATTACAATATATTAAAACGATACGTATAATTAAAGAGTTTATTTGAAAAGAAAAATTGTAACAAAATAAATGATTGATGTTAATAAGACTTTACATTTTAGTCGATACAGTAACGGATATCAGAAAAATATACATACATTCTGGCTACTACGCAGAAAGATTATTGGCAGTCGTGACATTGATATTTCAGTCCTTCTTGTAATGTATTACACGGATTACAGGTTTATTGGCCTTTCGCAAAACGTCTGGATATTATTTAACATTTATAACATGAAATAGGGTGTACTAGCTAGAGACATGACACACAATTTACAAGTAAATTATAGAAATCTATTATCTCAAATCTATAGATGATTTAGAAGTAGTAGAAGAGAATTCTATTACGAGATAATTGGAGGACGCGAGCAAAAGCTAATGTAAAATAAATCCTTTATATAGGTAACACCGTGTTCTATAATACTAATAAATTAAAAAGGCGTTTAAAGTTAGAACAAACGAACGAATTAAAGATTGGGCCATTATTTTAATTGTTTTTTATTCTGAGTTTTTGCTTAGTCGCCGATTTCGAGAACTTAGACTTTGTTAAGCTTAAACTTAAGGATGTTAAGACTCTCGCGTCAATATATTATGGTATCTATAGCATATATTTTACCTGTTTATCTACGTTTTGATCTTAATGTAAAGACCCATAAATTAATTACATATTACCCTCATAAATATTTGTATGAAACTAACTTTTTCATTCACCGTGCTTGGTCTGGACGCAACGCTCGACGGCGTTTGCACATGACAAATGATATGCAATTGAATAATTCAACAACAATTGAAACTGGACCTTAGACTTGCCATTTTTCGTAACCACAGCATCAGTCAGAACACAAAACAAAATGTATAGCAATCAGTTATTGAGACAATATATGCAAGATGACAATATATAATAGTATTTAAATAGTGAATTAAAGTACTAATACTAGCAGATTGAAATGTTGGATCGTATTGCCCATAAAATGCAGAAATGTCAACCACTATCAGGCTTGGCAGCAATTATTTTCTTAAAATGTTATAAAGTTGTTAAAGGAAGGTACACATATTCATGTTTTCCATTGGAAACTAGAGGCTGAGCGTATTTTAATATACCATTCTGCATCTATATGTCACGTTGACATGTTTGTAATGCCTTACATACCTACTTAGCAAAAGCCCTGCACCAGGAATTATATTTAGAAAATAACGTCATTATCACCCGTCAACATCAAGTACCAACAACAACAATTATATTTACTATCTACTTCGTTAAAGGATATTCCAATCATAATTGTTTTCAATTGCAGCTACATATAAATATAGAAATCATTGAATACTTCAAAGCTGTTACTATATACTTACTTATTAAGCCACAAAACAAACACCATGTTGTTGGAAAAATTAATTTAATACTATCACTAGTAGAGATAAGTAATATCGTAAGAAATAACTGTAGAGAGTCCAAGAATCAGCGGAAACTTTAAAAAAATTAATGGGTACTCATCGTTTGTAGGTATTGTCAAAATTATGCGTACGCTAATCTCGGTTTCAATATTCTCATGAGATTTCCAGGTCAAGCTAAAATAACTGTTGTATAGAAGATGTAAAATGAAATACAATTGATGAATGGAGACATAGCGTAGTAGTTCAGTCCCTTTTGAATACTTAATGCCAGGAAACACAATAAACACTAAATCTCATCAATAAACAAATGACTAACAAAAAAAGAAACTGACTATTTTATTTTCACATCTACATATGTACGGAAAAAACTGCTAATCAAAAGAAATATAACGCCGGTTGGCGAACAGAAGTGTGAAAACAAAAATTTTTAACAAAAAAAAAACCGACTTCAAAAAACACTATTCCAAAACAAATTAATATGCACTAAGAAGGAAAAAAATAAATGCATATTGTTCTACAACTTAATAATCAACTTACTTTTTCTACTCATCTATATGTAGGTACGATCTATGTGTTAACCGCGCAAGAAGGTAGGTAGGTACCTACCCATTTCAAATCTAATTTAACATATACCTGTGAATAACAAACAACGATCAAAATATTTATTTGAGTTCTCCTAAGTAAAATAAAATGAATATAATGTAGTTACAATTATTGTTATTTTTGCAGTCGGTGTCAGCCAAGTCGGTGTCACCTACACCTTATAAGTGAGAAGTGCTTGTGTCGCGCACGCGCGAGTTGACGAGTCTTAAAGTATTCTCGTATTATTATTGCTAGGTATATCGTAGTGTTTCCTTGGCTGACACCGACTCCAAAAATAACAATAATTGTAACTACATTATATTCATTTTATTTTACTTAGGAGAACTCAAATAAATATTTTGATCGTTGTTTGTTATTCACAGGTATATGTTAAATTAGATTTGAAATCGGTAGGTACCTACCTACCTTCTTGCGCGGTTAACACATAGATCGTACCTACATATAGATGAGTAGAAAAAGTAAGTTGATTATTAAGTTGTAGAACAATATGCATTTATTTTTTTCCTTTTTAGTGCATATTAATTTGTTTTGGAATAGTGTTTTTTGAAGTCGGTTTTTTTTTGTTAAAATTTTTTGTTTATTTTTTGCTTTTTAGTGAATCTGAAGTACACTTACTAATTTGTCTGAATATGGGTAGACCTAATAAACGTGCTGCTCAAATGAGACAGCGCCGTTTGAATGAGACAAAGGGAGTCAGGAAGAAACGCCTATCTCAACAGAGGCAATCTACCCTGTGATGACGGATTAAGAATACAGAATGTCACCACCCCTTTTAATCACATGGGTGTCGTAAGAATCTAGTGAGGGAGCAAACTACGCAGGACAACAGCACTGCAAAGAGAAGGAAAACTTGAAATAAACCCTATACCAACGCGTCTGGCCAGCGTGGTATAGTAGGCCAAAACCTCTTTTCTAAGGAGAGGCCTATGTCCAGCAGTAGCTTAATAAAGGCTGTTGATGACGACAATTACTTGACCATAACGACGTTACTGTAGGTGACTCAAATATCCAGATAGCCCATAAAAGATTCAGCCGAGTATCGTTAATTTGCTCCTAAGAATTGAAGAGTTCCGTTACTTTGTCGTGGATCCCATCATCAGAATCTAACCAAACTCTCATCAAAGTACCCTTAAAGTACATTCATTCCAATAAAAAAAGAATTATCGAAATCGGTTTGCGTGAAATTGAGTTATTCGTCTATTTGTCGCGAACATACTAAATGCAAATTTAAGACTTATATGGTTTTCTCATGGATGCCATTATCAGAACTAAACCAAATTAAAATGGGACCACACGGGAAGCACCAGCTTTCAAATAAAAAAAGAACCAACAAAATCGGTTCACCTAGTCAAAAGTTCTGAGCTAACAAACATAAAAAAAAAAAAAAAAAAATACAGTCGAATTGAGAACCTCCTCCTTTTTTTGAAGTCGGTTAAAAATGTTAACAAACTGATTGGCCTTCAATAAAAAAATAATCATTTTTAAATAACTAGCTCTGGCTTTAAAAACTAAAGACAATAATGATTAAACAAAAGATAAATCGCTTGCAAAACATAGTGCGGAAAGATGGTCACTTTAAATTCAAAGGTATTCATTATAAAACAATTGTGTGCTTCAAAAAGATACTATTGACACACGTCAGTAACTACAAAAAAAAAGAAATTTCCTATTTTATTCATACTTATTCATTAAATTTAAAATGTTTGTTTATCATCCACAAGTATAAATAGTGTCAGTGTATGGATTTTCGATAGAATGACAGGTCAAACATCTACATCTACTGTACCTCTATAGCTTTATGTGGCTGTTTTCGCATAATCTTTATAATATGTATGATCAAAATATTATGAAATTTTTAATTTTCTGCGCTTCTTTAACATTTAAACTATAGGTTTTTAAAATGCCACATAATGAAGTTCACGCTCATAATCGGTTCAAGGTCTGATAAACATAGTACTGATACATTATTGTACTTGATTCAAATTTAATGCAAGCCGTTACGAGTAGGCATTTAATAGTAGATTAGTAGCCAAGGGCTGTAAGGCATCAATTGCAGCCCGAGATATTTAGCACGTAATTATAAAATAATCCCAAAAGCAATTTTTAAAGTAAAAGTTTTCTATTCCCGCCTTTTTTCATTAAAAAGAATCAAGTAAAGAACTTTTTAAGTTTTTTTTTCAAGATCGAAAATGAGCTTCGCCTTCGCCTTTGGTCATTGGGTTGAATGAATGATGTCTATTGCCAGTATGATGGTTAGATGTACGCGAACTTTTTGAAAGAAAGAAGTGGTTTTTTTAAATTACTTACCGCCCTAGGACTTTTCTAGCTACATTATTACCCTAGAGCGCTAATTAGTCACTTACAAGCCCCATTTGGCGGTAATAAGAACCTACTTACCGAACATGAGAGATGTAAAGACATACTGACCCAGCTCGGTAGTGTACATGTAGTGTAGCATGTATGAGCGGCCTGATGAATGTGTAAGAAGCGTTCTACTGCCTGCCTTAGCCTGACGGTAATAAGGGGTTACTATATGATATATAACCACGATGATGAAACTGATTGATTCCAACCCCGTCACATGTTGCCATAAACAAACACGGCGAAACACATGTGGTTACCCCCACCTGTATTTCACACCGAATATACCTGATTTTATACTTAACTATTGTATTTTGGTTAAGGTCGAGACAAAAGATCAAGTTCAAGATCAGGGAGAAGAGAAGCAGATAAATCTAGTAAAAGAACTAATAGTGCATCGGAACGATACTGGAATAGCAGTGGCAGAGACGAGGAAGTCCACGACAGAACTAGACCAAAACATTCAGGGCCTCTACACGACGGCAAAGGTAAGGAGTCTATAGAAAGACCTTGTTCGAATAAATTACAAAAAAAATAATATTTTCAATAAACCTCCATAATTACTACTGTTTTTTTCTCTATAGATGGACAATCACTACAAGACATGGACATCTCGCCTGACAGGAGTACGCCATTGTCTGAGAATTCATATGGAGCCAGAGAAACAAATTCGACGGTTCGGAATAATTCAGACAATAATGCAGTTCCGCCTGTCGTCGTTTTGGACAACTCGAATCAGCCGGTTTGATTTTTATATCTAAACTCAGTCTTTTTTAGTGGATTTGCTACTTCTAAAAATGGCACTAAAATGATGTAAATATTCAATTACAGAGTGGATCGCTGCTAGCAGCAGCATTGCCGCGTATCGTGGCAGTGCCGCCGCAGGTGACAGTATCGGCCAACAATGGTGCAGCGTCGCCGGTGTGTGAATCTGGTAGTCGGTCTGGCACGCCACAGCGTGACGCAGGACCTCCCACACCTACCCACTCGGAGAGTATCGACCCTCATGCTCCGCCTCTACATTTAGATACAGCTTTACCTAGGAAAAGTTAGTAACTCACAATTTTTACAAGATTTCGTAAAGAACGCTGTCAGTGCATCGCAAATTAGTTCATTAAATACATTCTATGTAAGTTATTGCGGCGATTACTTTATGCACAACTCCCCAACATTAATGGAGGTCCCTCAAAGGGGTAGTCTTAGAATCCCCCGTTTTGTTGGAGGGACACAACCCTCGTCCCTCCACAAGCCTCGCGGAGGCTTAGATGATTAATGGAAAATCAGGAGACTCATAAAACGTGATATCTTGACATAACTACTTATCTCCGAACTTGACTACTATATTATTATCTATAAAATTATAAGGTGTGGAGGTCTCTTGTTAGATTTGTATAAGCATTGCATTATGTTCCTATACATGGTTTATCAAATATATGTGTATTGTGATACATAAATGTATTTTTCAGTGGAATGCCTAGGAAGTTATTCTTCCGTAGTAGGCGGTAATCTACATCACGCACCGCCTATGCTGACACCCTCCCTTGTTAACTACGTGCGCTCGGACCTCACTTCCCACGTTAACGGTTGGCCCGCAGATATTTTAGAAAATAAGGTGACTATTTATATTGGCAATTTCCTTTCTCATTTTGTTACAGGTGATATTATACAGGTGATATTACATTCTTAATGACCTGAAATACAATAACGAAGACAGATTTTTTAGTTTCTCATCAACCGTTGGCTATCTTTGTCTAGATTAAGACTTATTTAGCTCTGGTTAAGTGTAAGCTTAAAAAAACAGCAGAAATTGACAAAAAAACATAAGGTCAAAAATATTTTTAGATTCCACCTAAAGTCGCAGAACTGTTTGAAATTCTATTTTATATATGAAATTGAGTTTTGATGTTCGTAAGCCCGAAAATATTTTATTTGTTGGAGTTGTAGATATTCGACAGTATTAAACACTTTTTGAAGAATTTGTGATTTACTTAATCCCTTTACATTATCAGGCTAACAAGTTCACGGAAGAAGCATATCAATTGGGGTGTCTGCAGTGCACGCGGGTGTCAGCTGAGTTAAAGTGCTCGCGATCACTTGTTCGGCACACGGAAATACGGGCTACGTTACAGGAACAAAAGTAAGATAACTAATATAATAACATATCTATTTTAGTGCCTGGATATAAAATGGAAGTTCAATTGAATATTGAATTGAACTTCCATTTTATATCCATTTATGTTCCAAATTTTTTGATCATTTAAACCCTATTTTGCCGAACTCCTTTCCTGACGTTTTAGGAACCAAAAGGTTTTTACAAGTAATGTTGATAGGTAATTAGTATGTACATTTTCACGATAAACAACACCAGCGACATACTTATACCTAATTTTATTGATATCCTCTTCTCAATGTTATGTAAAAGGAACGTAAGCATGCTATAACAGTCTTTGTCTTTAACGCACTTAGTGCGAAAGTGATAAGAAATGCCATATAGAAAGAAACCTATATTTCCGTATAATAGTTGTATTGAGCGCTACTTACCATGTCCACAGAATAATGTACCTGGGTCAACAGATTTCGCGACTAGAGGAGCTAAAGTCGCAGAATTCGTTCATGTCGGAGGACTAGGAGTCGTGGTGGGGGCAGACGCGTGCTCACGCTGCCCCCACGGTACCACAGTCTCCGATGTCACCTCCAAGAGCTGAATACACCGCTCTTCCGAGGAAAGTTTCACATGTCAATGCTAAACATTGTTCATTCCGTTCATTTTTTATGTAATTTAGATCGAATGATAACTCCTGTGTTGTGTGATTTGATGTTAAAATGTAAGCAATTTTGTGCGTGAGAGTTCGCTAGGATTGGTCAATTTGAATTGAATTTCATTATTTAAATCGAGGTTTAATAAGTCTCCGGCTACAATTGAATTTTTATCAAAATGTAGAATCAATTTAATTATGTAACTGTAAAGTATGTTTTGATGAAAATATTGTTTATGTAGGTAGGTTAAGTAGGTTCGATTCTACAAAAGTTATAGCGCGCTTCACTCGCCGAAATCCTGTTTTAATTACATTCGTCTGTTTCATGCACTCGACACATAATGGACTAAAAATGTTAGAAAATGCACTGGTCAACATTAAGTGTTTTATTGTTTACAGTTTTATAATGGTTACTGATCCAACAATGCTTACTTCAGTACTTTATAATAATAAGCTCTTGTAGTGTCATAGTAAAATTTAGTAAAATAGTGATATTTTGTTAAATTTTATCTTGATTGTTTGAAATGCGATAAGAACAACACGTAACATGTTGCATACTATGTTATGTATAGCGCCACTAGTTCATTACGCAGATACATGACATGCTCTATGTTTTTTTTTAATAAGATCAAATTGAGGTAACCTTAGTATCAAATATTGTGCAATATTATTTTATCATCATTTTCTCTATTATCGAACTAAGTTTTTGAATATTTAATTAAAATCCGTTGCTTTGTTGGCCAGTGTTTGTATCAACATTATTAATATTTAATTTTCTTAAAGATAAACTATAGTTATTTTGTTATCTGTTGATTCAATCTTAGATTAATTATTTGTCCATGTAAGGGTACTACTGTGTTTTGTAATGTGTTTACTGTAAAAATAAATTATTGAATGTCTTTCGTAGCGGATGATTTCTATAGTTAATATGCAAGTTGTTACATTATTAAAACATTGCAATTAGTAGCCAATTAGTGAATATATTGAATGTCAGTGTCATTGTTTGAATAAATACGTCTACGGCTGGGAAGTGCTTGTCGCTGCCGATGTTCATTTTTGACCAATCAGTGTATAATATGTAAAGAACCAAGTATATTTAGTAATTTAATAAACAAATTCAAGCCGCAATATTGACTTGATTGGAAAGACCTTTTGAGCTTATGATGAATAAACATTGGAAGTGTTGAAGCGCAACTTTAAAGTTTGTTCACTTACATGAGTACCGTAGTGAATCATTAGTTATGTAAAACAAACTCCGGTCTAGGTCTTTTATTTTTCTAATAATATAGGGCTAATAATATATTTTAATTGAATTGCTAAAATGACACCAAGCTATGTAAAATAAACAAATTAAAGGCAATACTGTGATATCCATTCACATTCACATGTAATAATAGTCACATGTAAGTTACATAATATGTAAATAGGCCTGTGTGGAGATGTAATTAGGTGCACGCTGTTTATAAATCACTTAATGTTATTTAGGGCCTCAAATTACAGGTCTCTTTATGAAAACTATTGCGCTGTACCAAGGCAACCTCTTTGTATTGTATGTTAGCGTTAACTAGGGACCTGTCGAATTGCCCGCCGTAAACTTTAGGATAATATTTGGAGTTAATAATACTTGTAATGTCGCCTCCACGCAGGACTTTCTCTTCTAAACGTTTTAAAATACCTACCATAACAACAGTGACGATTAATATCTCTTGACATTAAAATATGACAATTTAACCGGATTAAATAAATCAGTTTCTGATAATCACGTGTATCACTTATTCACTACTTTTTAGTTATGGGCTCAATGTATGTTCAAGAATAAAACGATTAATTTCAAACAAGCGTATTTAATCATTAAAAACAAGTACAGTATACAATTAATAAAGTAAGATTATTAGAAAAATTCAATTAGAGAGCTAAGTCGATGCGAATTATATTTTAGGCACATTTCTTGAACAAGAATTAGCCTTGAAATCTTATATTGTCACAATTACCGCGTTTTTATACTAATGCATTTGACATGAATTGTGCGTTTTTACAAGTTAGACTAATCATCTATAAGTAATTTGAAAGTGCAAAACAAATTTTAATACTTCCTAGTGGTAATAATAGATGTCTCTAGTAATACGTTTTTCAGTTTTGTTACTCGGCAATTGCATTGTACTGAAGACACGGACGACTCAAGTTTTATGAAGGATTAGAATTTTAAATACATTGTCAATAGCTTAGGACTAATAGCCAAATACGTTCATAGGGGATCGCCCTCTTAGTATATTTTGATAACTTGTTATTCTAGGTTCATTTTCATTTTTGCACATATATAGGTGTCAAATTTAAAGCATTTAAATTAAAACATTACTAGCAGAAATAATATTCGCTTATTTTAATCTTTTCAATATAGTAGACGAATGTTTTATGATTATTTATATGAATCTATTACAATAAAAAGGTCACAGATGCAATACCATGTAACAATAGAGTACCAGGCAATGCTTTAATGTAGCTTTCTCATTCTATGTTGCTACTAAAGCATTTTAGTAAAACATTCGAACTATCATTATTTATATAATTGTAATTTACATATATAATTTATCTCTTAATAAAATTTCTAAATTTCTCGATGTGAAAATTAAATTTAGTCCTGATACCTACTAAATTGCATAACACCCCTTTGATAAATGCAGAATTAAAAATATATTTGTAAAATAAATACTAGTTGTAGAGCTTTTGTGACCTTTCTTTTGTTAAGACGCTTGCAGTAAATACGAAGCGAAAACATATTTTATGGGCGCACATGTGTTTTATGAACTCTTTGTCGAAAAAATGTCTGTAAAATAATTCATTATGTATAGAAAATGTCTTAAGTTATGCAACAATAGAAAATAAATCTGTACATTTTGTGGCTTTGATTAACAAGTATAACCTGTGTATTAACGAACTTACAACAAAATATAAATACGATTTTATGTTTACATTAAACGTATTCATTCACATGATCAGATCATTTAGTCAGTGATTTGAGTAAGTAGGGCAGTGCCACGAATGATCCAATAGTTTGAAGGTTTGTTGGCCGGCAACAGTACAGGCAACACGAAGTTAGTGCTGTGTCCAGTAGTGGATAAAACGCCCGCTCTCTCCGATGTTTTATACATTGGAGCCTCGTACCGGGGGTCAGGCTTTGGCAGCGTCAATACTGGCTTGAACCATACCACCGGCAGCGGAGGATTTGTCTGGCCTGTTTAAATAGTGGAAAATATCATCCTTATTACTATCACACTATTACTTTCTTTTTAAATTCGTAAATCACACTTAGTACTATCTTTTAAATGCATTTACTGAAGGAAACACCCGAAAAATTGGTTTGCATTTTCATTTACATAGCAATGTCACAGGCTACCTGGCTATTGTGAAAGATTCAAATATTTGGTAAAGATTCTCGGAGAAAATAAATAATATGTCTAAAGATAAGATAATAGATTGATTTTCGGATCATAATATAAAGGTCAATAATATACACATTAGGTCAAACACTCACAATGACGAGAGGATGTGAGTTTTCGGAACATGTCAAGTACGCATATTGTCAAACACGTATAAGTATTGTCATTAACGCCATATTAAGTCATAAATGGTCAATAACTCATAAATGGTCAATATATGCAAAATTTATATTTTGTAACGTTTCTCGAAAATAAAATTATGAAATTTGATATTATTATAGGAACAGTCTGTTAAATTGATAGATTTATTATTAGATTATGGTAATTAATACCTTTAAGTTTAATTAAAAAATAGCCATATAATATATGGCTATTTTTTAAATAAACTTATGTAGACCATTATGAATCAGAACATATTATGTTCTGATTCATAATGGTCTCTGATAACTGCGTGTAGGACTATGTATGTATGTATGTGTTTGACTTTTAAAATTATTATTATTATTATTATTTATTTAAATTTATTATGACTTTTATATTAATTTTAAATATAATACCTACTATACAAGGTATAAGGGACATCGTACCGAATACTGAAATAGTGTATTCAGACCTTGATTCTGAGTCGAAAATCATTGAAATTTTCTGACGGAAAATTCATATTTTCTTTCGATTTTTCCGGTTAAAAATGATATCAAAATGAGTAGGCAGAACATTTTACCGAAAACAATTTAAAAAATACCAAAAAAACTGCAATATAATTAATCAAACAGCCGAAGTGCGGGGCGTCCCCTGCGGCCGCCATTTTGTGTTAGTGTGCGTAGTCTGTTTGCACGGAATACACATGTGCTTATTACTTTTGTGCGATACCTACGTTGAATGACCTTCATCTCTGATTGCATAAAAAGTTTAATTTTCCGGCTGAAAATTCTAATGATTCTCGACTCTGAATACACTGTTTCAGTATTCGTTACACCGTGTATACATACATGCATAAAGGACGTTATTCACGCTCTATACAAAAAGTACCCAAAAAAAGTGCCGGCCAACGAAAAAAAATGGTTTTATCGGTTAGAGAATGACATTTTAAGATTTTTTTCTTTAGACGGCTAAGGGCTATGACCGAGAGTTATATGACTTAGAAATAATTAAAAAATGCATTTATACGAGTTCGTTCAATTTTTACTTCATTACTATAGCAAAAATCAAATAATGATGATAAAGATTAACTTAATCTCGCTTAATAATAATATAATATGACAAAAAGCCTAATTATATACAATCATCATTAGGTACCTAAGTACCTGTGTAGGTATTAGTGTTATAAAATATGTGTAAAGAAAAAGACTTCATTTCGTTACCTAAGTGGCTTTATTCATATGTTATAATGCCGCAGGTCTTACGATAACATTTTCTAAACCTAATGCAGGTGGATTTATGGCAGGTTGTTAGTGCCTCGCGAACGTCATGTATCACACTATGCACATAGTGTCGGAACAGCAGCCCACCGTTCTTTTGCCAACATTGCATGAGCAATAATATACGGTATGGCATCACGGCCACTCAATGATGTCTCGATGCCAATGTAAACATAATATCGCACCTTTAAAGACAAACCGTTTCTAAACGAAAATATACAATTTTACACAGGAGCTAAAATAAGAAAAATGCAGGACCTTTTTGCAATAGCATTTAAGATTATGGTGGTTTGAGCCATTCTTTATGGTCATAATGATGGATATTTATTTACACTATAACATTAAATTCAGAAAAGCAATTTTTTTTTAATAGCACATTGTTAATTACGATTTTAAATTTTTATAGTAACACTTCCATTATTATTTTTTTCAATTATGATTAATTATTGTAAAATCCCCATATAAATTATGTAACAAAATATAAAAATACTTGAAAACCCATTATAATAATGATTTTACAATACTACTAAATTGAAAATATTATAATTAGCATTCGCTCAAATTGTAACTGGACAGATAAATAAAATAACACATTCTAATCAATGTTTTATTCTCATTTAAAACGCGAGATCCATACATTTCTTTGACATTATGGCACTTAAATCTTTAGCATTGCTAGGATGTCTTAATAATCAGTCTTTATTCAGTATCTAGTTTTAAACCACAGCAAGTTGTCACTAAACTTCCGTCATCACTCTTTAACGAACAATTCACAATTAGTATAGACACGATATTGCATTTAGCAAGCAAATCTTATTTAGTTTTGTAACGGTCAAAACCGACGCCATCTATGTCTAAAATTGGATTTTTTTGAACAGAGTCAAACTCATCGTATAGTTTACGTAGTTTTAAGAAAAATGGTATTCATAACTCAATTCTCCAAAAATTTCGTTTAGTAACGGTTTGTCTTTAAAGGTGCGATATACTCTGGCCCGAACATGCCGAGATGTGCTCTTATGATGTACTCTTCCTCTTATAATTATTACCTATGTTTTCTCGTGTGCGTTACCCCAGCAAAATAATGTCGAAAATTGTCATTTAAACTTTATAGATAATTAGTTGCTCCCCTTCTGTAATTGTTAGGCACATTTTTAAATTTGTTTCACTTAAACTTTTTTAGTTATTACAAAAAAACATTTCCTGCTGGGGTAACGTTTGAAACGTTACCGCAGCCAGACATTTTCTTTTTTAATTGTAATATTGAAATAAATTTTAGCTAGATAATTAGTTACCTGGACTAGGTAAATGTTACAACTTATTTGGTATTTGTATTTTCTTCGGCTGCGAAGTTATTCGAAATCCTGCTGGAGTAACGTTTGTGGGTTTGCTGGATCTCTGAAACGGGTAAGCGGATTGTAACCATCTTTTGTACATAACTTCTTAAGGATTAGTTTTAATTTGTTCGACAATAAAATAACAAAAATAATGGACCGTTTAAAAATTATTTAGGTAAGTATGAAAACACTTCAATACGTCCTAACACTTTAAATAAGACCTCTAAAGACTTACTTGAAACGTTATTCTATTGCTTGTAACTACCTTCAAATGTATACGAATTTTCGTAAGAATACTGTAAGTGACTAAAAAGTTATGATGAAATGTAGCTCTCCACGTTCACGATCACAATGAGTGCGGCCTTTTTTAGCCACCGATAAACCTGTGTGTGGATATATAAACTGAATGTTATGCTAATAATTAGTTGTTTAGTTCAGTTATCTACCTGTAGAATTTCAGCGTCGTACATATAATAATTTACGAGATAATTAAATAAAAGTCATTAGAAGGTGCAAGTCCGTGGTAATCCGACCATGTTTAGGTGGTTACAAAAAAGCGATCACCCAGTACATTGCGCTGTCTTTAAAAATGTTTAGTGTAATACACCTTACGATTTCGGTACAGTTGCGTACAGTGTTAAATACATTCAATATTTATTCATTATTATTACTAGACTTCCAACGAATATTCGGTTACTATTCGGTATTCGGCCTATTCGGCTGCTTTTATTATATTCGGCCGAATACCGAATATCTACATATTATTCGGCCGAATACCGAATACTTAAATAATATATTTTGTCATTGAGAAATAATTGGTAAAATGAAAAATTAAAATCGATTGATTACGTATATATTCATATTTTCATTTCTGTTATAATCATTTAAGTAGTCATTGGTGCATAACACAGCTACATAATCATCTTCTGAATAGGAAAAATGGAGGATTCTATGTATTTGAATTATTGTGGTAATCAACATTTAGAAGGGTAAGGTTCTCATTTCTTTTATAATCATTTATTAAGTAGTCATTGGTACATAAAACAGGTACATAATTTAATTCACGTCTGTACAAGTTTTTGGCGCTAAAATCCAGCCGAATACTTTTGCCTAATATTCGGCTATTCGGTCAGGGGCCTCGCCGAATATTCGGTATTCGGTATACTGCCGAATATACTATTCGTTGCAAGTCTAATTATTACCTATTATTTATTTTGTTTTTTTCCCTAATTGATCTTAAGCACTTGTTTCTTTACTTAAAATTTATTTAGTCTTTTTTACTACCGGAGCTACAATCAACAGAAAATCTGCACTGGTCCGCTAAAATTATAAATATGTAGATACATGTATGAACGATTCACCTGACTGCAATAAAACGAAAATTTTAACCAATAAGAAATCGTTTCATTTCTTTGATTTTTTTTTGTAAAGAAATAACACTAAAGTAATTGTATTTTATTTTGGGGTGTATAGAGCTTAGACTTGAATGCATCAAAATATTTAAAGCAACAAGTCATCTACAATAAGTTAAAATAGACCGAATAGTAGAAGAATACAGTTGTAAATTAGAATGCATCAACATTGCATCGCCCAACAGTCGTATACCTCGTAAGAGTAGGTAATATTGTTCTGTGGTCTATACTTAGAACCGAGAATTATCTATACCTATGTACCTACCGTTAAGCGTTGAGCCCGTGACTGTTGATTTCTGTTAAAACGAACAGTTGTTGAATGATATTTTGATATAATAACGGTAATTTAATTTATCGAGTGAAAGTGATACATTTTTATAGATAAAATTATTGGTCAGATAATATTTGTCAATCAAGAATCGCTGATAATACATCCTTCGCTAGAACGCGGGAGGGGAGGGGCGAAGGGATACTTCATTGTTTGCCTTTTGCATCTAGTGCACTAAACTTGACCCTTAAGCAGATAATATACGTGTTGTAAAGTACGTGTGCGCTTCCTATTTTTGCAAATATTTATCGTATTCTTGAGAGTTCTTCAATATGTGTGTACCTAATTACTAATAATAGGCATTAATGCTAATTCGATTCAATTTAAGTAATTGTCAATTCTTGTCTTAGGATATTAATTACTAATGCTAATATTGAAATTTCGTTCAGGGTGAACAAATTAAAAACGATCATAACTTTTAGGTAGGTATATCACTTATTACTAATTTTACATAAATAATTTATTTTATTATAATTTAACTCACCGCGATTTTGTGATCAAATCTTTTATTTTCTCCAACATTATTACAGAAATAATGCAATACAGAGTTTGTTCGCGATATGCTAGCCTAAGTCGATTCATCACTTAAAAAAATCCCCATCTATTCACAAAATACCTATTTACAACGCATACGTTACACTCTTCAAAACGTATCATTTCATTTCATATTTCTTAAATTACCTATACCTACCCTAAAATTAAACTTCAATTAACAAATACTACGCAGGTACTTATTCTATGAACAACTATAAACAATTCACCTAAACATTACGAGAAAACAAAAGCATTCAAAACAATACCTAATCTCCCGGCTGATTACTAATTATGCAATAAACAATCCTAAATAAAAAATATTTAAAAAACATGTAGTTTTTTGTAACACTTATGTACATATCCGTAGTAAACTTCCAAATAATATCCTACATATTTTAAAAGCCAGCACAATGTACTGGGTGATCGATTTTTTGTAACCACCTAAACATGGTCGAGTTACCACGGTCTTGCACCTTCTAATGACTTTTATTTAATTATCTCGTAAATTATTATATGTACTACGCTGAAATTTTACAGGTAGACAACTGAACTAAACAACTAATTATTGGCATAACATTCAGTTTATATATCCACACACAGGTTTATCGGTGGCCAAAAAAGGTCGCACACATTGTGATCGTGAACGTGGAGAGCTACATTTCATCATAACTTTTTAGTCACTTACAGTATTCTTACGAAAATTCGTATACATTTGAAGGTAGTTACAAGCAATAGAATAACGTTTCGAGTAAGTCTTTAGAGGTCTTATTTAAAGTGTTAGGACGTATTGAAGTGTTTTCATACTTACCTAAATAATTTTTAAACGGTCCATTATTTTTATTATTTTATTGTCGAACAAATTAAAACTAATCCTTAAGAAGTTATGTACAAAAGATGGTTACAATCCGCTTACCCGTTTCAGAGATCCAGCAAACCAACAAACGTTACTCCAGCAGGATTTCGAATAACTTCGCTACCGAAGAAAATACAAATACCAAATAAGTTGTAACATTTACCTAGTCCAGATAACTAATTATCTAGCTAAAATTTATTTCAATATTACAATTAAAAAAGAAAATGTCTGGCTGCGGTAACGTTTCAAACGTTACTCCAGCAGGAAATGTTTTTTTGAAATAACTAAAAAAGTTTAAGTGAAACAAATTTAAAAATGTGCTTAACAATTACAGAAGGGGAGCAACTAATTAATTTTAGTTTAAATGACCATTTTCGACATTATTTTGCTGGGGTAACGCACACTGTTTTCTCCCAATTCTCTGACGTGTTCTGTTAAAAGTCTGTCGCCAAGCTCGACCGTAAAAACACCATTTGGATTGATGTGCTCGCCGTAATAGCTTTTAGCTTGTTTTATTTGATAAATACCCAAACTTAATAATATTAAATCCTCTTCTGAGAGCCTTGGAAAATCATCGAACTCGGGCATATCGGCGGACATCGGCTGAAATTGTGCTCATCTTCTATTATAATTATGCCTTACAACTATATCAGCCAGCGTGTTAGGGATTGACATTCTATGGTTAATTATGGCCAAAAATATAGTTAATTGATACATAAATGCAAATGCTCATTTTATGATTTTCGGAGATCCATTTTGGGTCTAAAAGTTGGTTGGTTGGTAGACGTTTGTTGTAATAATAAAAAATGTTTAAAAGATCATTTGCCGTAAGATGACACGGTTTTTTTCAATGGCCGGCACTTTAATTTTTGGGTAAATTTTGAATGATATCCTTTGATATTAATAAGTGTAACATAACAGTAAACCAAATCATACAATTAATGTATAAGTATATATTGCAATAGATAGTAGTTTCTCAATTATCACAAGGGAATGCATTAGGCACATCAGACAAACGTAGCAAAGCAGTAGTGTCGACTTGTCTACTTAAGGAATTGGATCAAAAATAACAAAATACATATTCCTGGTGGTAGATGTTAATTTGTAATTTTCTCTTATTGACATGACTATTTCTTAGTATATCAGATAAGCTGAGAGAGAGTACCTAGTACTTCGCCGAAGTTTAAAAACTGTCAATTGTCATTTGGTTAGAGGACAACAAGCGTATCAGTGACTACATTACACTACATTACATTACGCGACTAAATTAAAATTGTTCACAAACCTGGAAATGCGTCAACTAGTTTATTCGTATGTATGTCCCATCGGCCCGCGTCTATGAACAAGCCATGAATATTTACACCATCTTCGGGTAGTTGTAAATCGCCGTAAACAGTGGGACCCGGAGGTTCGCCCTCCTGAAATTGATTTCTTTTGTGTTTATACTAAATAGTAGATGGGGCAAGGTTTCTTATTCTAAGCACTGAATATAACTAATATTTTGTTGTTTTATTTAAGAAATAAAACATCAAGTTGGACTAACCACGAATTGGACTAACCGCGAATTGTACCAAACGCGCCTAAAGGCATTCAAAACCATAAAGGAGACAACATTTTGCTGGCGTACCGCGAACGCACACCGAGCGGCTCGATACACTGAGTGTGGCAAGACAGGAAGCTCCACATGCGTACGTTTACGTTCGTGAAGTGGTGTGCCACGACGCCAGTCTTCGTCATCAGTCGCCTGAATGACTTATTTGTCCCACATGTGAGTTTGTAACTCAAAAGGATCTAACCACTGAATTATCACCGACGTACGATATTATAATATTTCAATCACTATCCTGTTTTTTATCACCAAACACCAAAGTTTTCCATATAATTAGAAATGTACAGAACAGAATGCCTAACTTATTCACCTACACATATTTTTTTAAGGAAGAGGGTCAAACGAGCAAACGGGTCATCTGATAGAAAGTGACTAGCGCCGCCCATGAACGCCTGCAACTCAGGAATCACAAGCGCGTTGCCGGCCTTTGAGCAAGGAGTACATTATTTTCTTGAAAGCTTGTAGGTCGGTCCCGAAATACCGCAAAAGATAATGGTTGTGCGGGGCAAAAAGTGTCATTTTCAAGACATTTTCTGCCTGCACACAGTGGTGGAGTAAGAATTATACAAGTGATGGGGATGAAAGTTTTGCCGTGAGGAACGATGCCGGAAAGTTATCCGAACAAATCTTCGGAGCAATCTCTATGATACATACGATGGAGAATGCAGAGTGAAGCTACATCTCTACGTAACGCGAAGAGGTTGAGCCTATCGGAGAAATTTGGCTTTCGATGAATCGAGTCGCTCTGGATGCGGTCCAGAGGTAGAAGCTGGTACTGAGATGCTCCTGCGTAGAGATGAGAACAGAATTCCATATGCGGCCGGACTTGTACCATATAGAGTTTGAGGTTGTAGGCCGGAGTGAAATTTTGCCTCGATTTGTTTAGCAGTTAGCTTCTTCAATGCTAATATAATCTTACCCTCTAAGTGACCCCTATGCCTAGGATTTTAAAACTGGCCGAGGCTGTTAGGAAGATACTCTGAAACCGAGGTGATACGACAAATGACATCTTTTTTGCTGTGAACGCACAAATCTGTCTTTTTTCGGTTCAAATGGACTAGATTCAGTCGACCTAGTCGTAAATTTCCTTAGCGGAGGTTTTAGATTGTCTGAAACCTCAGATAAGGAAGTTTCACAAGTTTGTTTTAACCCTCGATGACGTTTTCCCGAGAAATATTGGGGTGGCCAGTATAAAAGGATGAATGCTACTAGTTGGCAACATGTCATTGCTATGGACCGATTACAGATTTGAGTTCGGAGCATGCATCGTCGATAACCACGTTAATGCTTCTGTCTGCAAGGTGCCGGAGACCCAGTTACTTAATTTCTCGGAAAGCTCGTAGAGAATCGCCAATGTCAGATCCGATCGAAGGCCTTCGCTATGTCCAAGCTAACCGCACAAGCCTCTCCCTTTGTCTCGATCGCCTGTGCCCACCAGTGTGTTAGATAGACGAGAAGATCACCAACTGAGCGACCCTCACGAAAAGCATATTGTCGTTAAGTAATTTTTGTAAGTAACGGAGGAGCTGGCCGTTGATTACGAATTCCATAACCTTAGAGAACAGGGGGGGGGGGTTATGACTTTAGGCCTGTAGATGGACGCATCAGAGCGATCACCCTTTTTTTAGGGATCGGGTGCACAAACGTCGACTTCCAAAAGTTCGGAACGACGGTACAAGTAAATTTCTAACACCAACCGGGAAAAGGACATTTAACGAAATGTCACCTGCGGATTTCAAGCCGAAAGACAATAGAAGTAAACGCATTAATAATTCGGATTTAAGTGGAAATGTTTCATCTCTTAGCGGTCGTGATAACTGTGGGGAGTACAATTACTGCGAGTTAGTCTCACAGGCTACCGATTATTTGTCAAAAATTAATGAATTAGTTAATGATCAAGGATCTCGGATGAATTTAGGTAATAAAACGGCAATTATGGATATTACTCAACGAATTACCGGTATCGTATCCTTGTTAGCAATAAAATCCTTTAGCAACGAAACGAAGTTAGCGAATTTTGAGCGACAAATGGAGGGTATCGCAACTCAACAAACGAGTTTAACGTACGCGGACAAACTTAAGCTTCGCTTACCACCTAAATCTGCCCCGTGCCTGGTACCTACTGAAGCGAGCGTTCCTAGGCCTTGTGTTATTGCCTATCCCACTACGGAACGCTTAGCGGACTATGCGACCTCGTCAGCAACGAAACAAGCTCTCATGAAGGCTATTAAACCGAACGATGAGGGATTCCAAATTGCAGGCGTTAAAAAAACCCTGTAAGGCAGGCGTCGTGTTACGTGTAGCTAACGAACGGCAGCTTAAGAAACTGGAATCTGTAGACGCCATTATATCAGTAGGGTTACGATTAGAAAAACCGAAAGGCCGTAAGCCCCGTATAATTGTAAAAGACGTACCCGGTTCTATGGAAGATCGTGCCTTCCTAACAGCCTTATACCGTCAGAATATCAAGGACGAATTAAAATTAAGTGAGAACGATTTTATTAAGTCAACCAAAATTGTTAGGCATCGTAAACTAGAAAATGGGCGTCAATGGATAGGCTTAGAATTAGAGGCAGCAGTTCGGAAACATCTAGTCAACACAAAAGATAAACTTTACATAGACTGGGCCACTTGTAGATTCATAGACGATATAGAAGTAGTTCGTTGCTTAAATTGTCAGCAATTCGGTCATGTACAAAAGTTTTGCACCATTAAAACCCCTACTTGTGCTAATTGCGCCGCCGCACACGAAACGCCAGCTTGTCCAGATAAAGACACACCAGATTTTAAGCCCACGTGCGCACAGTGCAGGCGGTTCAAAAAACCATCTGACCATCGATGCGGCTCACACAACTGTGCCTCATACAAATTAAAACTGGAGCAGCTAATATTAAATACCAATTACTGAATAGTGTAATTTAGCTTAAAAAAAAGAAGATATTTATAGAGTAACTAAATAACTAATGGATAATATTTAAATAGGCCAGTTAAATCTTCATAAAGATAAAATAGCTACATCAGAATTAGACCGTTTAATTTTAGAACAAAAGATAGAGAGAATATATTGTCCTTATACAAGAACAATATCAAAGCGCTCGCTTGCGTCGTAATGTAGTACAGCTTAACTGCCGTTCGCAGGCTGGGATATACTCGTATGTTGCAAGTTCTAATTTTACGGTAACATCTTTGCGTAAACTTATGACGTCACACTGCGCCGTTGCTGAGATCTCATCCTCTACCTGTAAGGTTTACGTAGTGAGCTGCTGTTTTCAATTTTCACATCATATTGATCCTCACTTACATCACTTACGTTACGTCTTGCAGTTCTTCGTTGGACATAAAATTATCATTGGCGCTGATGTAAATGCGTCATCTTCATTATGGTCTAGCAAGTTGTGTTCAACCGACACGGTTCGACGTTGTGCGGTTGAAGATTTCATTGCGGAAATGAATCTTACTATTCACAATACCCCCGATGCACCACCAACTTTTTGCAACCCAATGGGTGAGTCTTATATTGACGTGACGTTTACCCGCGGCGACGTCTCGATATACGGATGGCGTGTCCTCCCGGACGCATCCTGCAGTAATCACCGCTTGATCGTGTACGAATTCATACCAAGGGTTGCACAGGATCCACAAAGGGCTCCCTATAATTTTAGATATAAAACTAAAGATGTGAACTGGGCTTTGTTTGGTTCACTCTTTGCAACTCCTACCAAAGACTTCAGTCGCAGTAGTTTATCAGCTGAGGAAAGCGCAGAAATACTATCAGAAACTTTCACATACTGCGATGATGTATCTATTCGTCGCGGACCTATCACTAACACTCGTAGATATGATTGGTAGAATGATAGATTAGCCGAACTACGTAGAAGCTACCGGAAAGCTCGTAGAAAATTAAACACTATTAAAAAACATAACGTAACAGGAGATTTGTGCAATAATGCTCTCATTGCTCTTAGAGTTACCAGGTCCCACTACATAGCTGCTGTGGAAAAATCCAAGGGAAACTTATTTCAGAAACTTGTTGATAAACTCGATAGAGAGGGCCCTTGGTCACCTTTGTATCACAAATTTAAGGCAAATAGATCAATCGACCTTGCATACATACAGAACATCAAAATTAATAAGATATACCACAGGAGTAGAACAAACAGCAGAATATCTTTTAGAATCACTAGTACCTGACGATCGGCCGGAAAACGACACTGATCATCACCGACAGATCAGGCAGTGGGCCAACGAACCACCACTGTCTCCAAAGTCTGATTCACCATCTTCAGACGAATTTCTCGGTATCATTAGATATCTAACAAAATGACAAAAAAAAAGCTTGTAAACTTTCGGGTAACACGACTTTTACTGTCTTTAAACGTTGCTTTGCTGAAGGTATATTTCCTCGTATATGGCGGTGCGGTAATATTCGTATAATAGCAAAAAGTGGCGATAAGCCACAGTATGATCCTAAATCCTACCGACCAACCACATTGTTACCATCGTTAGGAAAGTCTTGTAGTGCCCCGGCTTCTGCCAGGTGGAGTCAAAATTCATGATAGACAATTTTATTACGTTGGGTAAATCGACAACTGGCGCTGTTATATCGGTTAGAAAGTTTGAAACAGAGTCAAAATTTCAATACGTGCTTGTTATTTTCTCAAATATATCTGGCGCCTTCGACAACGCATGGTGGCCCAAGCTGTTGCTGAAATTAAAATCACGGGGTGCTTTAAAAATATCTCTTCGTACTTTTCACAAGGTAGAACTAAACTAACTAAAATGACCTCATAGACGAATGGCAACAACGCTGGGACGAATCATCCAAGGGGCGCCATCTTTACCAATTCTTTCCATCTGTTCGCGAACGGTTGTCGAGGACATGGCTTGAGGTGGATCACTGTGTCGCTCAATTTCTTACGGGTCATTGTAACTTTAAGAGTAAGCTGTATTCATTTAAATTAGTCGAGTCACCATTGCGTCAATGCTCAACACCTAACTCTCACTATGAACAGTCTGCTCATCATATCCTCTGGGAATGCAGTCTTTGGTATAATGCACGTAATATAATGCTGAATAGCTTGCAGGTGACATCTGGGTCGGTATACTATGGCGATCTTGTGTCAACTAGGGTGAATTTCCGTGCGTTTAGGCAATTCTGCCATACATATTATAGAAATCAAATATAGCTCACCTAAGACCCGTAATATTTTGTGGCCGTGGTGCTTCCCTGTTTAAAAGGGTGTATGCCTATTTTACTTCATTTTCTCTCCCGCTTTGCTAAGGAGGGAAGTGGATTTACTGTATTTTCAACTCCTCCAATTTTCTTCTGATTAATTTCGTTGCGGGTTCCAAGACAGTTTTATTTCTTCCTGGGACTTCCCCGAGTGTCATAACTACCGAGTTATGACACTCGGGGAAGTCCCAGTTATGACCCACGAACACACCGGTGTTCGTGGGTCACTGCTGTGGATCCTGGTGTGCAGGAGTTACAGTGGTGGGCGTGTGGGTGGGATTAGTCCCTTTTGAGTAGGAGAGTCGAAAAAGGCCTTTTAAAACTGGTGCCAACTCTGGAGCACACGTCTTCAGCACGATAGGAGAGATTCCATTGGGACCACTCGACTTATGAATATCGAGGGAAATGAGTGTTTTACGCACTGATTTCTAGGTGAACTGGAATTCCGGCATACAGCTCTGCACCGCGGTATGGTCGGCGATACGTTTCCCCCGTTATCCAAAGTCGAGTTGGATGCAAAGAGTTCAACTAAGAGATCGACTTTCTCCTTGGCATCATGGACCAACGAATTATCTCCCATCTGCAGGGTTGGAAGCGATTGATTCCTAGATAATATAATACTAAGACTTACAACAGGTTTAGGCTTTTTCTTATTTTCAATATAAACATCATCCTGTGTCAAGAAGACCTTTTTGGGGAAAAAGTCAAACATCAATGCGTCTATAGGCACTCGGTAACGACGTGCATACGATTGTAGTGAACCCGTCAGCAGGCCTTGCGGAAAGAACAAGCCTGACACCCAGCTACTCGGTTGAAGTCCTTCCACGAGCCATTTCTGAAAACATAAGAGAGGTAGTGATGTCAGTAATCGATATCTGTTTCGAGTTTTTTCAGTTAGTTCATAATTCTCAAACTCCTTATTATTTTTCACCTTCTGCCTCAATACTCAGAAACTTACTGAATAATAATTTATACAATATAAAAAAACAAAAAAATTTGGTGGCTAAATATTTTTCAGTGTTAAGGATTTCTTTTTTGTCTACAATTTTTTTTTAATACTTAATATCATATACTTATATGTTTACCTCCACAAAATCAATTCGTAATGTGAGGTCGTAGATCCAACTGCCAAGTGACTTCAAAGAATTATATCCTTTTCTATGCCACATGCCAGGCACTTTATTGTTGAGGAAAGAAGTGAAAACTGCTTCAAATGCTTCAGACATTACCACAAGACCCTAAAAAAGAAACAATGTATCGGCGACTTGATATAAGTAAAAGAAATTGAGTTCTCAGAATATTAAGCATCTATTGTATTTAAGTAATCCATTCTTCCATAGTTCTAAACTTATAACCTAGTTTTTGCCGGTGGCACCGCCTGCATGTATGTCGGTTATCGCGGTAAAGAGTAGCTTATGTGACTCGCTGATAATGTAGCTTTCCATTGGTAAAAGATTTTTTTTATATCAGTGTAGTGGTTTAGGCGTGAAACAAACAAACAAAAAAACTTACACACATTGATAATAATTATAATATAAGTATACATATTCACATTTATAATGTAAGTATGGAAATGGATAATAACATAGGCTACTTTTTACCACAATAAGCGACATACACGGGGGCGGAGCTAGATCGGATCTAGTTATTACTATATTTTAGGTATGTATATGTGTATAATTTACTCTCAAAGGTCGAAAACTTCAACCAACTTTTCAGTGTCACAATTTTTAAAATATTAGGTACATAGGTAGGTAGGTATATCATATGAGGCGGCGATCCTATAAAAATAATAGCAAAAGAAAGATGCAAGTTTTTTTTCATAATATTCAGAAAGATATGCCTAGACTAATTAATTAATATATACTTACGTATAGACAATGTATTAAATAAGTAAATTATTATGTAAAATATCTTGATATACAGTTAAGTTCTTACTTTGATAGCCTTCTGGAGATCATTAAGCGAAGAATGTATTAGAGCTAGTAAAGTGTTAAATCTGTCAGTTTCATGTATCAGCACGGTGGTCAGCGAATGTAACTGTCCCATGTCATCTGGTATCATTAACTTTGGATTCATAAGGCCCTTGTCAATTGATCTGGATATTTTGGCTCGTATCTGGTCACAAATGCGCCACACGATTTGATCTGGAGTGTCGCCGCCTTCAGAGCCTCCTGTTCGTGGCTGTACGTCTAATATTGTTTGTACTAAACTCGTTGTTTCTTTGTTCTGCAAACCAAACCATTTCAAAGAAATAGTCAATAAAGTCCAAGTTTTGTTTAGGCTTTGTTTAAATAAATTTAAAGTAGTTCAGACTTTAGCTTTAAACTGCTAAAAATGTCTGTTAGCGGCGAAATTACAAAATGCAATGACACTTGACGAATAATGCAGAAAAAAAATCAAATTTCAATATTATTTTATGATCGTATTGCAACTGACATGTTATAACTCCCGGACTAGGGATATACCCTGTATCGCGGGGGACTTTACACACATACATATATAAAATGGACACAAAGAACACCCAGACTCAGAATATCAATTTGTGGATCGCACAAAGTGTGGTCTTATGTGGAGATCGAACTCACAATACTCAGCGCAGTAGGAAGTCTAAAATGTAAAAAAAATATTATATAGGTATATAAAAAAACATTTAATATATGGTTACCTTGTCAGTAGCCCATGCTAAAATTGGCATTATTTACTGTAATGTATAAGTTGTTTAGAGTAAGACTGAGAGGATTTAGAATAAAAAGACTTACCTCGAATGCTATATTTGCATTATCGTGCATGCCAAAGACTTCTGGTGTCTCAATGACTGGTAAAGTATCAATGTAATTGCGAATATCCTCTATTTTTTCAGTCCTCGGGCAATAATAAATGCCAGATGAAGAGTAGGCGTATCCTTCTTCGAGAGTCGGTGGTGAGAAGAAAACCTTTAATATAGTTGTCAAGCAACGCTGGTCCCACATATCCGTCACCCGACCGCCGTACGTTATTAAACCTGAAAAAGTTAAGTAGTAACCAGATATTATTAAATACCTTAAATATTTTAAGCGATCTTTAATATTTACTACTACTTTAATATTACCTCTTTTATTTTACAAATAAGGATGTTGAAAAAGACGAGGAAAATAAACGTTGAATGCTGAATTTTATTAATAAGTTAAGTAGCTTAATAAATAAATATATCTAATATAGTCAGAAAACGGTTACCCTATGTTATTTGACTTTTTTTTGTTATTAAAATATGGCTACATAGGTATCCAACAAAATTCATGAAGTTCTAAAAGTAGTGAAGTTGTTATGTATATTGTTGCATATATCTATCTAATTCGTAAGGAATTCAAGAGAGCTAAAGGCTTTATCTTACTGGTAATGTATTCCAATGCGTCCCAAGGCATATGACCGTCTTCACAAAACATTTGCAAATTGAGCATGGCGCATTCGCGGTCACTATTATTAAACTCATATGTGATGTTCCATCCGAGCGGGCCGAACTTTTTTCGTTCCTGAATTATGGCGTGAAACATGCAAATACCGAACAGCATCGTACGCCAATCTTGACCTAATACTATATAATAAGAAATAAAAGAAGCCGATATAATTTAAGATTAAACGAACCTGTAGAAGTTAGTGAAAATTACTGCAAGAATTACATTTGAATGGAAAAAATAGCAAATATACAAAGAAGATACCATGTTTTTCGAAAAAGTCATCATCCATTTCTATAAAAGCTCTTTTTACGTTAGCCTTCAAACCTTTTGGCGGTTCGTTTGTTACTTTTACTGAATTTTGCAACACCGATACTGGAAATTTCGGGGTTGGCATCGAACTGAGATATAGACGAAAATCATCATGTAGCACTCCACCCTGAGTGGTACCCAAATTAGACACTATTAACTCCAAGCCTAACATCCACGAAGCGGCCAAATGACAGTTCTGCAATTATTACAGATGACAAATAATTATCGGGTTTTATTTAATAAACAAATTGTCATTATATTATAATTATTTACATACTTGTAAGAAAACCCAATCGCCTTTACTTTTCGCACCATTGATCATCCTTTCAGCAACAGGACCTTGCCCCTGACCTAGCGAAATGGAATGCACTCGATCACGCATGTTCATCTCTGTGGCAAACTTTTGGAAAGCTCCAAAAGGATCCGAGCCAGTGCTTAAAACAAACACAAGTGGTATGTTCGATGCTGTATCTTGGTATCTGAAACAGAAACAAAACAGACTTTGTAAAGAAAAAAAAGACATATTCTCTTTCAGTGGTTCATCTATGAGTAGTATCTCAATTTTTTATTTATAAACGTTAAAATAAATAAATAGGGTTGATTACTTCGAGCACGCTGGAATTGCGGCGGGAAGAGGTACCCGACACGGTACCCTCTCGGGCTGACGCAGGTGATCACCGGGAAAGGTTGTTTCGGAGATAACCTGTGTCTGATCCGCGCCATCCGTCTGTCTGAGTGCCACCACTGCGGTGACTGCACCGTTGGCACGGCCCTCCACACTTTGGCAGAATGCCCGGCGTGGGTAGAGCAGAGGCGTGACCTCGTGGTGGCCATCGGACTGGGAGTCCTCTCGCTCGGTTGTATAATTACCGCCATGGTACGGAGCGAGAGTGCGTGGAACTCCGCCATCTCCTTCTGCAAGCAAGTTATGCTTACGAAGGAGATGGCGGAGCGGGACCGGGAGAGGTTTAGAACTCTCTCGGCCTGCCTTCCCGGGAACGGGCCAGTTACCGCACACGACTCGACGAGGACAGAGGTCGCAGAACGACCTCCGTCCGCCATAAACGCAGGCCTGGGGGTGACAGGTGAAGTCAACTGTCACTCTAGCAGAAGCTGGCCGAGGTGATGGCGAAACGCGCTGCGACCATACCACCACCTGACGAAATTGACCATAGAAACTGGAGCCGACAGTCCCTTTCGGAAGTGAAAAGCTTTTATGGCCAGTTATACGCTTCGCATTGATTTGACCTGTTCTCGAAAATGAGGACCACAGAACCGCATTAACACGCCACTACACCGAAGACCTGGCCGAAGTCAGCACTGACGAAATTGAGTTGGCTCTTAAGACAGCTGGAAAATGGAAAAGCCCTTGGAGAGGATGGCGTTACAACAGAGCCGATTAAGGCTGGAGGTAACCCCGTTTTGAGGAAGCTCCAAAAGCTCTTCAACGCTGTCCTGTTTGAAGGGAGAACTCCGGCGGCGTGAAGTAGAAGTGTGGTCGTCTTGTTCTTCAAAAAGGGTGACAAGTCCATGTTGAAATCGTAGAGTTTTCGCGCATGACGGTTCGTGATGACTCTCGATGAGTTGATAGTTCATAGACTGGGTTGACTGGGTTTCGGAGCGGATATGGCACCATAGACCATATTCACACAGCGCGGCAGATTATACAGAAAACCGAAGAATATAAACAGCATCTGTGTCTAGCATTCGTAGACTATAAGAAGGCCTTTGACTCGATCATGATCTGGTCTGTCAAGTGACATGCAATAGGAGAGGCTTATGTCCAGCAGTGGACTGCGATAGGTTGATAATGCTTAAGCTTCTATTTACGTTTATTTTCTATCTGTCTAGGTCTTTTAGCTTCAACAATTTAAGATGCATTACATCTTAACTCGTGTTCTTAGACATACTCTCGTATGGAGATGAAACGAGTTTATAATTCAACTTTTGACTAGGCCCTTTCGCGTGGCAAATCAGGTAGTTCTTTGCTTGGTAAAAGTGACCACCGTTACCAAGACTTCTTAACTTATATACATGGACGGTCTGTTTTATGATCTTAGAAGAATAAATGAAAGAGCGAAGAATAAACGCTACATTGATGATATTATTATGGTTTTTTCTTAGCCCGTCGAGCAACGATCCGAGAAGATTGATTAAACTATGTGTGTTCTGTACGAGAACCTATGGCCTTCGATATAATACCAGTAGGTAAGTGAGTTGACTCAATTTTTTTAATTAAGTAAAAAACCTCTCAAGTATATTAATAGAACATAGTAGGTATTTGAGCTACTGGGTCAAGGCGAAAAAGTGAACGTAGGGCCATTATCAGCAGAGGTCGTAGTAGGTAGATCCATTTACGGCGAACGACCTCAAACGAATTTGTGCGTGTATATTCTTAATGGCGGGAGCTGTCTTTTAAAAACAATGTGTTTATTTTCAGCGTTTAGTTTGAAAGTTGATAAATATAAATAAATTTTGAAAAATAATAACGTTTTTAATTGAATTACCTATTATACCTTTTAAAGCAAAGTTGTCTTCCGAAAAAAAC